CGAGTCTCCTCGCCGATGGTTCCCATGCTCATCCAGTCTCTCGTGGTGCTGCAGGTTCTCGGCCCTGCGTACAACCCGGCGTACATGGCCTTCTCCCTGGACAACCCTCGGGGCGGCGGCGGCGGCTTCGGCCCTTTCCAGTCCGACGTGCGCGACACGCGCGGTGCGGGCGAGGGGCTGGACGTGCAGCAGTACTCGGGGGGCGACTCACTCAGGTAAGCAGCCCGGCGATGGCGAGAGCGTTACGCGAAACCACCTCAAAGAGTTTTGACTAATCTCGTATCTTGCGAATCCCCGCAGCCCTTTCTCCGTGGACGAGGACTTCAGCATGGTGCTCGGCGACGAGCCCGCGTGGCAGACGCAGTACGACATGCCGTCCGTCACGCTGAGCGGCGGCGCGGACGTGGGCGGCGGGGGAGCCTACCACAGCTACAGGACGTCGGCGGGCAGGCGCGCGCGCGAAGCCCCGGCCGGGGAGGGCGCTGCCGAGGACGCGGTCGTCACCGAGACCGACGCCGAGGATGCGTCTGCGGCCCGTGCGGGGCGGGCGGCGTGGAGCATCCCGATGGGCGCCGGCAGGGACATGCAGTGGCACTGCGAGTCCCCGCTGCGCTGGGTGGACCTCGGCCCCGACTACTTCCCCCGCTACCTGCGCTCCGCCGACTGCGGCCACCACACGTGCACCGGGTCGGGCTTTGTCTGCCGGCCGCGCTCCTTCTCCGTCAAGGTGCTGCGGCGGCGTGAGGGTGTGTGCGCGCCCGCGTCCGACCTGCCCCGCGAGGAGTCCACCGTCGGCCTGCCACACGACCTGAGGGACATGTGGGTCTGGGAGCTGCGCGCCGTCAACTTCTGCTGCGTGTGCAGCATGCGCGGCTGAGTCCGGTTGGTTTCTGACATGGCCAGCCCATGACGGGTCGTCTCGCCTTAGTGCAGGACTTGTTCATAGCAACATTTATGCCATGTTGAACCCTTTCTTCTCGACATATTGTTATTGTGTGCTGTTCAGATTTTTTTGTCGTGTGTACAGACTGTTGTATGGAGTGGGAACCAGGGTAATTCTCTTGCATTCTTTCATCACCATCATTCATTCCTATCCACAACACCATAATTCATGTTTTTCTAGCTGCTTCGCTTCATCTCACAAATTTGTCTTACCAAGTTATTTGTTGTTTAATTTTATTTGTACTGTTAAGTGTAGCTGGACTTTTATATGGTCTCTCTCTACCTCTACCACAATCAACTCCTGTAAAAATATAGAATTGAAATGCCAAATATTTATAAATTCGCCCTGTGTCTAATTTGTAGATATTAAGTTGCATTGTTCATAGATGTCTTTGATAGGCAAATGTATATTAATGTACTTAGAGTGAAAAAAATATATTATTTATGGAAAGGAGATGTTTTAAATACCATTGTATCAATTTCAACTAGAATGATCATCCCCTGCTGCTCTGATTTCGGGCAAAACTGGAACAACAAAAAATTTACACTGCCATACATACAATAGGCCTGTTTATTCTGAAAAATCTGAAAAATAACTGAGTGTTTAAGTTTTGTTTACATGTACTGCTACAGTAGATCAGTCTTCAATTTTTTTTAAAATACATTCTGGTCATAATGGTCATTAATTTGCATCAAACAGATGCACAATGATTCTGCTTACTGGACTATGAAAACCAAATGTTTTATGACCTGAGAGTAAAAGTAATTAATATTCACCATTCTCATCTAGAATGGATTACTTTCATAAGTACACACTAATAAGAGGCACAGTGCCTCTGTCAAGTTTGAAATAATAATACTGTATAGTCCTAAAAATTAAGTAACAAAGAAAAAATTGAGTCAACAGCTATCATTAAAGAAAGCGGTACTCACATTCAAAAAAAAAAAAAAAAAAAAAGGAAGAAAGAAAGAATAATTTGCATTCAGCCCAGTATAAAAGTTACATATATATCACATGAATAAAATCACAGACGTCAATAGCACTTTTGTTACAATAATTAATAGCTCAACTACTAAATAAAATTAGTAGGACAAATTTCATTGATTCATATAAGTCATAAATCAAACATAACTGACTTCAGGTCAAATATAAAAAAGAAATTTCAAAATTGAACACATCATTCTGACTCTTTTCTCAAGAGAAGCATTTCAGCAGCATCATGCCTGACATGAAAATTAACAACATATTCTGCATTGGTCCTTTGAACACTAATTGCAAAGGGATCCGAAGGATGAAAAGTGAATGCAACCAGTTGTCGGGCAGTAGGAGGTGGATTTTTCCCAAGAAATCCTGCGTATATTCGAAATTTCAGAAGACCAGAGCCTCGTGCATAAAATCTAAGTGGAAAAATATTTTGGATTATCTTTCAATCAACAATTTCTGTCCTATTAATGCATGAGGTTTGCGGCTGCTGCTGCTGCTGCTGCTGCTACCGCCAATACTATACCTAATTGGGTGTTCTCCACAAGCTTTGGGTCGCTCCATCCCTGAAACCCATTTATCGTCATAGCTAAAAAGTGCCAAATCTAAGTAGGGTGAGCAACTGTAAGACTGGGCACTGATTGGTAACTGAGCAAGAAGTCTCTTTGTAGCTTCACGAGGACCTCCAAACCTTGCAGAGACTATCGTCTGCTTAAAACGTTGTTGAATCAACCTGGAAAGACAGGACTACCAAATGTAAAGGGTGCTACAGATAGTTAGAGATATTAACTGTTAAATGTAGTGAGCTATAAGATATAGATATAGAGATATATATATATAGGTATACATACCTTGCAAAAATATTATTTGAGGGTGAGCATGTAAATTGACATTCTGAGTTAAGTCTTGTGTTTCTAAAAGAATCACAATGGTCTTCTAAAAGTGTAAGGAGTTGTTTGGACGCATTTTCAAAGACAGCTATTATCTGAAAAGAAAATAAGTAGTTTTTTCTTCGGTGCGCCAACAGCTAATAATAACAAAATTTTGAAACATGCGCAGCCACACGCACTTATAATTCTTTCACTTTCCTACCTCTGCTTTTGAAATATTGTAGAAAGCAAAAAATGAGGGCTGCGAATTAGGTTCATTGGCTCGAAGTGTGACAACATCCTCACAAGCGTATTTAATTAGTAAATGATCTTCATCAATCAGCTGCATTTTCCACATTTTCAGACTCTTAAGCTAGAAAAGAAATTTTGGTCATAATAAAATTACATAACTCATAAAGACAGTGCCGGGGAGGGCGCCGCCGAGGACACGGTCGACACCAAGACCGACGCCGAGGATGCGTCTGCGGCCCGTGCGGGGCGGGCGGCGTGGAGCATCCC